AAAAAAAAAAATCAAAGGTGGAGACAAAAACGGGTAGGAATAGAGGCTGAATTAATGAGCACTGGCAAAACAAAAAGCTTACTTCCCCTTGATCAGAAAGCTTAGGTTTATGACCCAAACTCAGTGATTTTTAGTTTGGAGTTTTTGTTGGATAATTAATTAATTAGTTGTAAAAATGTTCTTCAGCCCTTGTAACTCCATGTAGGTAGCCATGTTAAATGATAAAGCGACAGTCTCTGCTAGCAGAGGAGTCAGAGCTGGCATGGGGGTTGTGATGTGTCCCTTTGTTCCCTGGAGGTGGCTGCCTCTGGGAGGACCAAGCCACACAAGCAAGGAGGAGCAGAGTCAGTGCTCCAGGGGTGGACATTTCAGCCTCCTTTCAGAAATGACTTCTTTCCCACCTGAGCTTGGGTTCCTTGTAGAATCTTCTTGCCTAGTCTCTGGGATTGACTGATCAATCAATTGATCGATCGATTGATTGATTGCAGGGATTGAACACAGGAGTATTTAACCCCTGAGCCACATTTCCAGCCCTTTTGTATTTTTCATTTTGAGGCACATTCTTGCTCAGTTGCTGAAAGCTCTGCTATGTTGCTGAGGTTGGCCTTTAACTTGTGATCCTCTTGCCTCAGCCTCCGGAGCTGCTGGGGGTTTGCCCTGTATTACACCCTCTAGTTGTGCTGGTAGACGTGTGTAGTGTGTGAAATTGAATGGTATTTCCAACTGTAGTGCTTATTAAGTTATCGATAAAAGATGGTTGTCGACTTAAGCAAGGCTGAAGATAATCCTATTAGGAAGTGATTATTCAACGACCAGAATGCATCAGAAGAGGGGGAGTTATGGGAATGGTAGGAATCGGACAGGATTCTCCGTCAAATATTATGTAGTCCACAGCTGTAAAAAAATGTATTCTGCAGTAAAACAGAATATCCTTTTCAGGACCGATTTTGTATATATTATTTATAAATTTTTAAATCATAGGTAAATTACAAAAGAAGGTGAGATGAGACACTCTTAAGGGTCATGCTTTTAAATGTGCCATATTATCTTAGTATAAATATTCCACCTAAAACTATTTTTATATTTGGAACCCCATGTATGGGCTTCATATCATAATTATTTTAAATTATACTGGTAGAGTTCATTATTATTAAAATGTTCTGGCAGCAATAAAACTCACTTATTAAATATGATTTTGGAGTTAAAACATGGGATGTTTTACAAATTCTTTGAGGTGGAGGAGGGTTGCTTGGCACCTTCTGTAGGAAGCCAACTGCTTTTGTCTCATTCCATTTCCCACCCACCACCTCGGGGCAGTGTCCTGGTCGTCCACACGTCCACACTGCGCTCTCGTGGCATTGACCATGTAAGGACAACAGCAGCCCAGTGCTGTGCAGTCTCTCCTGCATAGAGACCAAGATGGAGTGAGCCTTAGACCATGGCCCCCAGCCCTTTCTTGGGCACAGAGTTGGTGCAGGTGGGTCAAATGGAAAAGGAAGAAAAGAGAGGAACTGTGTGTAGTGTTGATATGGAACCGAACTAGTGCTCACGGGCACCTCCTATCCATTAGCCTGTCGTCAAAGCTAGCATCAGTACTTGGAATGTCCCTCTTACCTACATGAGTCAAGTGAACTAAGACCTGCGGGCAAGAGCTCTGTACCTACAAGCGTGGACTTGAAGTGCTGAAAAACTGGAGCTCAGTGCTCAAGGTGGGCTTGGGTGTTTATCTCAAGAGATGTTCCTTGTTTCATGTTTACCCATGTTCACATTTTATTCCTTTCTTATACTTCATAAGCCTCTATATGCACATTATTGAAGAAAAAATCTTTAGGCTAGTTTCATTAAAAATAAGGACTAATTGTCTATTACATTTTTACGTATGGATGTCAGTGCTACTAGAAGAAGCCATGGGACCAAGCAGTCCCAATATTGGAGTACATACATTTTTAAATTTCAAGTGACTTCTTCATGTATCTGTTGAGGGTGAGATGGTTCAGGAGGATAACAGTGTTATTTTCTCTGTTTTTCATTTCTTGTGGTACTGGGGTTTGAACCCGGGGGTACTCTACCACTGAGCTATACCCTCAACCCTTCTTATTTTATTTTGAGGCAGGGTTTCTCTAAGTTGCAGAGGCTGTCCTGGAACTTGGAAAACTCCTTCCTCGGCCTCCCAAGTAGTTGGGATTATAGGTGTGTGCCACCTGAGCTGGATCCCTGTTTTCCTTTTGTCAACCTTATACTATCTACAAAAATCATCTGAGTCATTGAGGAGAACAAAGAGTGCGATAATCTGTATTTAGGCAATGACATTGATTTTTTTTTTTTAATCAAAGACTTCTCAGAGTTAGATGACCCTTAGGAAAATAAATTTCGAAATTTTTTTTTACCGTTTTCTTCATTGATCATGGGACCATGTGATTTTCAGATAAGGTAGGATGGGGAAAATCTCATGGCAGTCAAAGCAACTGAAAGGGTGGCATTTTTGTGAGTCGTCACTGTTCTCGGTGAATGGCCTCTAACAGTGTGGAGACAGAAAAGACACAAAGTGTGTTCTCTGTTTTATAAACACACTATTTTGTATTTACTGCTTGCTAAGCGTGTAATCTGCTATAATAACATTTGCACATTTGATAAATTACATCATATAATAAAAGTAACAATAGTTTATAAAAACTTTAAAGGTGTAACTCTTATGGAATTTTAATCATGGAGAAATAGAACTCTAAGCCAAGAGGGTGGGGGAAAAACATTTTGTGCCATTATCCTGAGTGGTGACTTATTTTGATGCAGTCATTTGTTCTGGATGGGTTGGTTGCTCCCTTTGTACCAGGTGCCAGTTCCAGGTGGTGGGGAAGTGCTGCTTTTCAAGGTCCTCTCCACATTCTTAACGATCAGATTTGACTTCTCTTCTGTCTTGTTCTCCTCTTGTGACCCTTTCAGCCTTCCTCTACCTTTTAGGGTTTTCCATTATTCAAGACTGAATTAAGCTGCCGTCCAGCTCTGCATCCCTGAGGGGTTGTGTTAGCTGCACTTCTCTGGCCACCTGCAACTCATAGTATCTTGGTGTGCTCAGGCCACCATAATAAAATACAGAGGACTGGGTGGCTTCAACTACAGATTTTTATTTCTCACAGTTTGGAGGCTGAAAAGTCCAAGATCAAGGTGCCTAGAGATTTGGTTCTTGGGGAGGACTCTCTTCCTGGCTTGCAGACAGCTACCTTCTGGCTATAACCTCATGTTGCTGAACAAGGAAGCTCTGTGTCCCTTCCCCTTCTAATAAAGGGACTCACCTCACCATGGGGGCTCCAAGCTAGGTACCCCAACTAAACCTAATCTGCCTGCAAAGGACCCATCTCCCAACACCATCACGCTGAGGGTTAGGTTTTTAACATATGCACTCGAGGGGTCAGGGACACAAATGTTCTGTAGTGGTACCATCAAGACAGTGACCCTGAGCCAGGTATGGTGGTGTATGCCTATAATCCTAGCAGCTTCGGAGGCTGAGGCAGGAAGATCGCAAGTTCAGAGCCAGCCTCAGCAAAAGCAACTCAGTGAGACTCTGTCTCTAAATAAAATACAAAATAGAGTTGGGGATGTGGCTCAGTAGTCGAGTACCCCTAAGTTCAATCCCTGGTACCCGCTACCCCGAAAAGACATTGACCCTGATCCCAAGTGAGGGAGGAACCACTGAGTGGGAAGGATTTAGGGAAGAGGAGGTGCAGCATCAAGACCCCTCAGCTGTGAACATTGGTGTCTACGAACATGTGCCTCAGGGTTCCTCTTTCAGATTCAACAAGAGTAACTGGAAAGTCATGCCAGAGAAAGTTCCCCAAATCCTCTGATATGATGAAGTTGGAAAAATAACATTAAAGTGCAGAAAGAGATGGAATCAAGTTTGTAAGACTTCATATTAAGAATATGCTTTGTATGTCTTAGGTACTTCTCTCCACACATTTTAAATCTCTGCCCACCCCTCTGGGGGTTCCGCACATTTTCCTTTGAAAATAACCTTATGTAAAGTTATAGAAATAAAGAGGTGGGCCCTCTTCTGGGCTATTAACCCAGTGGGATCTCTGTGACCCCTCCATTAGGACATTCCATTGTACCCTAGAGAGTACAGTACTTAAGCTGGTTTGTTTGGATGTTTACAAACCTGGAACTTTAACATTCTGCTAGGATTACTTGAATTTTTATGAAATTCTTCACTCTGCATTTCTTTGATTATCTTGACTTTTGTGTCCCATTATCATGTATCTGGATTTTGCTGAAATGATACTATATTATGATCTACCCATTGCAGGCACAGGCTTGGGTTCATGATTGGCTTGGGGTAGAATCAGGATAGGCTAGAACATCTGCATGAGCTATTTTTACATGATCAGAATTTCAATAATAATATGAAATGAGAGGAAATCTGGGGCTTAGCACTCTATTGCAATATCCAGAGATTAGTTTTCTGTTATGATAGAAGGAAATTTTGTATTTACCCCCTTTCCTTTCAGATTTCTGTTGCTTTTCCACAGTAAACACTGTGTGTAATTTAGAGCTTTTCAAAGCCTGGCAGCATTGCTTTCTACCTTTTGACTTCAAACTCCGTGCTCAAGAGTTCCTGGGAAGCAAGGGTATAGTAAAGGTGGGAAGGAGGACACAACTGGTGGCCGTCCTTCTTGACTGCAAAGTTGGTGTAACCACTCTAGAAAATGGTATGGAGATTCCTCAGAAAACTTAGAATGGAACCACCATTTGGCCGGCTTATCTTACTCCTTGATCTAGACCCAAAGGACTTAAAATCAGCATACTACAGTGACACAGCCACATCCATGTTTATAGTAGGTCAATTCACAGTAGCCAAACTATGGAACCAACCGAGGTGCCCTTCAACAGATGAAGGGATAAAGAAATTGTGGTGTGTGTGTATATGTGTGTGTGTGTGTGCATATATATATATATATATATATATATATATATATATATATATATATACACACACACATTATATATATATATATACACACACACACATATACACACACAATAGAACTTTTTTTAAGTTGTAGATGGAAACAATACCTTTATTTTATTTATTTATCTTTATGTGGGGCTGAGGATCAAACCCAGTGTCTCAAACATGTGAGATGAGTACTCTACCACTGAGCCACAACTCCAGCACCACAATGGACTATTACTCAGCCTTAAAGTAGAATGAAATTATGACATTTGCCAGTAAATGGATGGAACTGGAGGATATCATGCTAAGTGAAATAAGCCAATCCCAAAGAATCAAAGGTCGGATATTTTCTCTGATATGTAGATGCTAATTCTCAATAAGGAGGTGGGCAGAATATAGTTACTTTGTATTAGAAAGAAGTGAAAAGAGGGGAGGAGGTATGGGGGGAGGAATGATAGTAGAATGAATCAGGCATTTTTACCCTGTGTGCATATAACATGACCTGTGTAACTCTATATCATATACAACGAGAAGAATGAGCAGTTATACTCCATTTATGTATGATGTGTCAAAATGGATTCTACTGTCACATATAACTAATTAAAACAAATTTAAATAAAAACAAACAAAAAACAATCCCTCTTGGCTTTGAAGACTCATACTAATGTGTCTTCTACCAAATGAGATTTCATCCTGGCTTATTTCTTTTTCCTTGAGAAGCTGTGACTGTCTTTTCTTTTTTTTTAATTAGTCGAGGTACCATGCATATACCAAAATCATCACCTTTCTAAAGTGTACAGTCCAGTGGCTTTCAGCTAATTCACCAGGTTGTTCAGCCACCACTCTTCTCAGCACATCCAGAAGATGTCCCCTGCCCCTTAGTTGTCACCTGCCAGGTCCTCCCAACAAGTCCCCCCAGCCCTTGGCAACTCATTTCTAAGTCCGTGGATTTGCTTGTTGACCTGTTTTGCATATTTCACATAAATGTGAATATACAACACATGGACTTTTTAATCTGGCTTTTTTCACACAGTGTGGTGTTTCCGAAGGCCCATGTGTGCTTAGCAGGTCTCTGTGCTTCCTTCCTTTTTGTGTCTGGGTGTTATTCCCCTGTATAGACAGTGTCACTTTATCTCCTAGTAGAAGGACATTTAGATTGTTGTTGTTTTGAATAATGCTGCTATGAGTGTTCATGGACGAGATTTTGTGTGGACATTTGTTTCTAGTTCACTTGGGGTGTGCTTAAGTGTCTGAGGAACTGGAAAACTTTGCAGGTGACTCCATGTTACCTTCCCACCATCAGTGTATGAACGTCTGGTTTCTCCCCCTCCTTGCCAATGCACGTGATTATCTATTCCAGCATCATTCTTAGTCGCATTTCTTTTGTAGATGGAAGGGCAGGATGTGGATGGTAAGAACCAAACCCAGAGAGCCACCGTTGGGACCCAGGGTAGAACTCGCATCTTCTGATTTGTACTCACCATTCTTTCTGCCACACAGATTCAGGGAAGCATTTGATTCTTCAGTATCTGTGACATCCAGTGGTGTATCCACCTAGCCTCGCCTCTGAACACCAGACTTGAATAGCCACCTGCTTAACTCCACTTGGATGTACACTGGGCACGTCGAACCAGAACGAAGTTTTGTCCCAGAACGAAGTTTGGGTCTCCCAGCCCTTCCTTCCCCCATTTCACTGGAGGGTAAACTTCTGCTCGAGGCAGAAGCTTAAAATTGTTATCTTCCCTGTCTCTCATTCTCCATATCCAACTTATTGGCTTTTTGTTCAACATAGTCTTATTCTGACCACTTCTTTCTTTCTGCCCTGACCAAGCCACAAACATCTCTCACCTATCCTACTCACCTGTGCTAGTCACCTGGCTCTCATCTCTCACCTGGTCTTCAGATGGTATCAGTCCCCTGCTCAGATTCCCTACAGTAGGTTCTTTTCAAACCTAGTGAAATGTAATGTCCTGGAAACGTACTGAAACTGGTACAGGTGCAGCTCCGTGGTAGAGTGTAGGCTTAGCCTGTGCAAAGTTCTTTCTGGGTCCCGTCCTCCAAATCGGTCAGTCAGTCCTAGGTCCCTGACCACAGCCTGCTTTCAGTGCCTGCCATCTTCTGCTCACTCTCATTGGCTGCTTTGCTCTTCTGCGATGCTACCACCACCACGTTCTCCAGTCAGGTGCTTTGAACTTGGTATCCCCCCAGCTCTGAGCCCTCCTCCTGCAGCCCTGAGCCCGCTTCCCCCAGGTGTTTGCACTGACTTGCAGCCTAGGTTCTGTTAAGGTTCTGCTTGTATGTCACCTCATCAAGAGGCTGTCCCTGGCCACCATATTGAAACCACAACCCATCACTTTCCCTTGCCCACTCATTTTATCCCTTGCATTGCTTTTAAAAGAATTATTTAACAGTATATGAAATGCTTATTTGTTTATTTTTCTATTTTGCCTATTAAGCGGTAAGCTCCAAGGAGCAGGCGCTTTGTCTCTTTGGTTTGCTGCTCTATTTGCATATTGTGGAATACTACTTAGCTCATAATAGGCAGTCAATAAATTATTGTTAAATGAACAGTTACTTGATTTCCTCCCCTGGGGTCATTTGGAATCTTTTCCTGTCAACCTATACTGGGTGAGCTTTTAATCTTTCATACATTTTGCAAAAGACTTCCATATATTTTTGGATGTGTTTGTTTAAGTCTTTCTGTAACAGTTTCTCCATATATAAATTTGCAATAATGCTAGGCAAGTGTTTTGAGACCTCATTTGAAAAATGTTTTCCCCTACAAGTACTAAAGATTATGCTTACAATATTGTCATTTTTATAACTCTATCTGGTTTTAATATGTTATAACAGTGTGGACCCTGTTAGCCAAGTACGTGGTAATAGCCTTTTATTATAATACCCTAGGATATAATATCATAATGTAATAATATCTTATTACTGTGGTTCCACTAATAAGGATCTCACTTTATACACACAGAGCTCTTGTAGTTTTATGATACATATCCAAGAGTAAGAATTTGCTATTGAGAATCTTGTCTAAAGCATAAGACACCACAATACCCAAAGGGATCGTCAACAAAATTTGTCTATTTAAATTGTACCTTTGTAGTTTAATTCATTCTTCTTACTGTGTTGCATGTTGTTACCTAAAAACCACAGATTGCTTAAGCACCTCTCGGCTCTGTTTATTCCATTTTATGCAATTGCCAAAAATAAGTAAGGCTAATATTAACCTTGCTGAAGATAATGTTCCAGGACCTTCCAGAATACTGAATAATTCAGGAGGATGTGAGGCAGTGCCTGAGAATTGGGCTGTACAGTCAGATTTACCTAAGTTTTAACTATATTTTAATGTGTAGTGTGGAACAGTAGACTTGATCTTTCTAATCTTTAATTTCTTCACCTGTCAAATGGGGTGAATAACTAGGTACCTCCAAAGGTGGAGCAAGAGTTAAAAGATGATTCATATAAAGCACTTGACATGTTATAAAATATGTTCAATAAACGTGAACTGCAATCCCTACTGGTAGCTGAAGTCTTTAGAGCACTGTATGTGAAGAAGTGTGCTTTGGCGCAAGACTGGAATGACTCCCAGATCAAGCAGAGTGAAGGGGCTTTTTTAGTGGCACTGAAATGCAAAGGCATCACCTCTGCTGCCCAGGACTTTGTTGGAAAGGGAACTGGGGCTGCTTCTAACCCCAATGTAGCAAATACAGCATGGAGACCCCCTTAGGGCCATGTATGTTGATAACATTTAAAGGACAAAGAGAGATCTTTCTGCAGTTCTTTCTGCAGCTTCATCTGCCAGGACGATAGAATGTTCCTTGTCCATTAGGAATTAACGTCTTCTCTTTATACCAGCCTCTGAGAGTGGAAATAGAAAAAGTCATTACAGATACTCTGGGTTTTGCTTTTCTGTTTTGTTTCCTTGAGAAGAGGTCTCACTAGTACTCTTCTCTCAATCCTCCTGCCTCAGCCTCCCCGTGCCTGGCCTTGGGTTTGCTTCAAGGTTGCAGCATGGAGTTTGAACAGTCACCGAGGCTGACTGTGAGCTCTCTGCACTTTCCAGCTCTGTTTTATTTGCTGCTGCTTTGTGTTTTCAAGGCTCCCCAACTAGGCTATAGACCAATGGTTCTCAAGTCACTGCAGGGCTTGTTAAAAACACTGAATTCTGGGCCGATCCCCAGGCTTTCTGATTCTGTGGGTCCAGGTGGGGCTGAGAGTGCATTTCTAACAAGTTCCCAGGAGACTCTGGTGTAGATGCTCTGGTCAGGAAGTCGCATGCTGCCAGCCACCATTGAATGCAATTTGGATCTCCCCAGAGCGCTTGGCCCCAAGTTGGGCACAGAATACGCTCCCAATAAATACTTGTTGGTTCATTGCATCTAATGACACCAAAATGAAATATAAAGGGGAGATAAAGTATATTACGGTTCTCATTAGGCTCACTGCCTAGTTCTCATTAAGACTGCCCTGATTTCTTTTATGTCTTGGGCATGAGGGCTCAGTGCTAATTTTCACGGATCCTGTGGTCCCTAAAGTATTATCGTTTTCATCTGCTCCAAGGTTCTCCTCATTTACCCTTTCCTTTCTCGTCTCATTTTAGACAGAATGCTAATAATAGCCAACAGAACCCTCGGGACTAATACATGAATGAGAGTTTCTGTGCTTCCCAAAGAGTTTCTGTAAATCCCTTTGTCATTAATCTCATTTCTCTCTGTCTGTCCCCTCCCGGTGAGTGTAAAGCTAAAGTCCTTGGTTTGTTGCTTCATTTTCTAGAATTTTTAATTTGATTCTAAGTAGCACGTCTAAGCTAACATTTGATTGAGTTACTAGGGAGAAGATTTACAGAGAACTGATAGAAAACAAATTGGACTTGTAGAGAAAGGATGATTTGGAGTTGTTATATTGCCAAATTCATTGTTTATTTCCCTGATATTTTTCTGGCTGTGAGCACTTGGGTATTTCTTCACCAGAAAAGAATTTTCAGGGATTGTTTTGAACATCCTGTAAACTCTTTTCTATTTAAGCATGTTAGACGAAAGAGAGATTTTTCTTCATTAAAACAGGAAAAAAAAAAATCTAAGTTTCCATTTCCATTGACCCATTACTGTGTACCTGGGAGAAAAATACTCTACAAAGGTACGAAAGGCCTTTAAATAACTTTCCCCCAGGATTTCTGAATGTAATATTCCCCTCTTTGTTCGCAGCTAGCATAGGAGTTTAGTTTTTAGACTAGTGTTTTCTAAAGTAGATTCCGTGGAACACCAGGAAGATGTGTGGGTGAACAGAATTCCATGACAGAAATAAAGAAAGCTTGGCAAACCCAGGTTTAAACAAAGTGACACAGAGGCCTTTAGTTCTTTGTCTCAGGACTGACAGAATCTTTAATATGAGCGTTGTGAATTAAGTATGAAAGAGGGGACTATTTTCAGACCCTGAATAACCATGGAACCTTCTGGTGCCAGTGTTCTGCGGACTAGACTTTGGCAAGTACCGTATGAACATCCTTATTTTGTGTGTGGGGGGTTTGATCCCTAAAGAAGTCTCAGGGATACAGAAAGATGCTCTTTTTTTTTCTGTACAGATAAGGTAGACACAATTTTGATTCCTTTTCAAAGTATGTATATATATTTTCCACGATTGAAGGGTAGTAAAGAGATCATTTAGGAACTCTGTTACCATTGAAGAGCTCAGTGCCTTTCCTGAATGCCGATTTCAGGTTAGATTTTTTTCTGGAATATAGGCATTTTTGTTCTGTATTGACTATTTTGGGACAAATGTCCTTGTCTAATTCACCCAGCATAATGCCATTGCTAAGTGCACTTCTGAGTTGCAATACTGCTGGACACTTATGGGTTCCCCCGTATGCCAACTTTCAGAGTTATGGAAAATTCAACTAAATGCCACTTAAGACATGGTTATTCATAATTTCAACAAGCCCATGCAGCCGTCTTTCCACAAGGGAGGATCATTCCTGAGGTTGTACTCTTTTCAGGTTCCTGTGCTCTACACCCCGCCCACCAGTTCCCTAGGGCTGTATTCCAGTTAGCAGTACTCTCTGCCTGTAATGTGGCTTTTCCCAGTCACTAGAAAATGTCAAGAGGTATAGTTGAACTGTGGAGGCTATTAATCTCCACGACACTGTCAAAGGAAAGAGTAGAGTTTCATAGCTACAGGTTATTAACACTACTGACAATGGAAAAGTTGACATTTTTCTTTTCTTTGCATCTGGACTCTTGCCTCTTTTAAAAATAAATCGGCAATGAACAGAATATGAAGCATTTTTTGCTGTTTCAATATTGCACATACAACAATGATGAGAGGTGAAACCAAACCTATATTTTATAATCAGATTTTTGCCTTCCTGAACAGAGGGGTTTCTCAGGTTGCCTTCCTGAACAGAGGGGTTTCTCAGTTACTTTGCATAGCATAACTTTTAATTCCAGGGTGGTTATCTGTGATGGTAAATGTTTCAGTGCCAGCAAGTTTTGCTTTCGAGTTCATCCCCTCCTCACCCCCCACATAAGGACTATTGGCATCTGGAAGGAGTTAGATCACCCTCATTTGACAGCAATATTACGCTTGTTAAGATCCACTGAGCTGTGAAAACACATCCATAAAACATCTAAGGTAGAATTTAAGAACACAGCCTTTCTCCTCTCTCTTCTTGAGGGGTAATCCAAACTTTTTAACTTGATATATTACAGAGCACTGTCATTTTCTGTTTCAGCCAATCTGGTTCATATTCACTGACTGTAATTAGGAGTGTAGGTGTGTGAATTAGTTGGCTTAAAAACTCCAAAGCGTGCACACACGTAAATGTGTTGCATGTAAATGTTCTGAGTACAGAATACCTAATTTGAGTGAATGACAGGAAGCACAACATCATTGAAATTGTCAGGAAAACAGAAATTAGGTATTTTAGAGCCCTGGGTGGTTTTTTTTTTTGTTTTTTTTTTTGTTTGTTTGTTTCTGCATGCTGCCTTCACGTATTACAAGCCAGAGAAGCTGCAAAATATGTACAGAATTGAGTGGGATCTTGGGTGTAACCGATTACCATGAAAAATTGGCAAGAGGGAAACCACTTCTTGTTTTCTGCGTGTTCTTATGTAACCTTGAACAAACTGTTCTGTTTAAAAAAAAAAAAAAAGTCTTTACTTTTCTCTTTCTGGGGGGAAAAAAATTGAACTTGAGCCTTCCAAATATTTTTGATAGTGTATTCCCTCCTTCCCACCCCCATCAGAATTCCCCAAGTGTTGGATTGCAGATGGAAGTCTGGACTGGGAGTCTCAGCAACTTGACTTTGAGCTATATTTTAACTATGTAGAAGATTACGGCATGTTCAAGGGTGCTGGATTCTATCACTGCTTTGCTCTGCTTTTTTCTTATGTCAACAGGGTTTTACTAGTCTACATTCCCTGTTTGTGCTTAATCATTTTATAGTGGAAATAGATCGGGGAGAGGTTACAGACAACATGTGTGGAAACCGTGAATTGCGATCTCTGATTTTCTCTATTCCGAATCATTCAATAAATGCCTTTATTTGGTTCCAGGAATTTCTTTGCTCTTTTTCTTCCAGCATTTTGGTTCCTGCCTCTCCTGTCCTTTGCTTTGCTGATCTCCTGTTTTTCCCCCCAGAACTTTATCATTTCGTTTCTGCGTCTTTCCTTTTCTGTACTCCTTGATTCTTTCTGCACACACTGAGGCTCATAGAATTTGAAATAGGAAGGTCCATAGAGATGCCCGGGTTTTTTTTTTTTTTTTTCTATAATGACTTGCCTGCTTCCTTGGGGTAGTCTTTTCGTTTCTTTGAATGGGATGTGAATGCACTCTGGGTAGCGTGGAGCAGGAAGTGCTTACAGAATGTGTCGTCACAGTTGGGAGGAGAAGAATAGACTGTCATATGCAGGTCCTCGGGAGAACATTGCCAATATGGAGGACTGGCAGTGTGCTAACCCATCTCCATTGCCTGCACGCTTACTCCTGGGTGTAATAAACACTAGTGGGTCACACTGGCCACCTGTGGCCCTGTCAGGTGCTCAGGGGCTGCAGAGGCAGGTGGCACTGGAACGGCTTCATCAGGGTTTGCAGCTCAGCTGGGCTGCCACAGCTTTCCTGCTCCCTCTGGGTTTCTTGACAAACTGGCCTCCTGCTAAGGGCAGGGAACCCAGTGGCAATGGGAGGAGTTAATGAGCCACAGAAAATGTGGCTGTCTGAGAACAGAACATTGTTTGTGTCCCGAACTCTTTGTCCCTGAAGTTTTCAGAGAAATCCAGCGTAAAGGGTTTAAAAAACATCCTGCTCTTGTTGATCTCTTCTGAATGGTAAAAGAAAATGGAACATTTAAGAATCATTAAACCACATTGTGTGGGTATTCAGTTGGGCTTGGGTTTTAGATACTTTGGGGACACACATGAGATGATTGTCACTACAGAGAGGCAGAAATTAGGACGAGTAGAGGATGTTTGTGTTCTCAGGAGCTGTCCTCCCTTCAGCCTGGAGTGTTGGTGCTGCTGGACTGTAACAGCTCCTACTAGGGGGCCATTTCCCATTGACTCAGAGCTCTGTGCAAACACTTCAAATGCGTTCTTCATCCACCACGATCTTCTTTCATACTGGGCTGAGCATTTGGTTCTGCAGAGCCTATCTCCACCGTCCCTCCTTGATCCTGGCCTGTGCATCCCAACATCACCTCTCTTGTCCTCTGGGAGCTTGTACCAGCTCTCCTGTTGTATGTCTAGGCCCATCCCTTCCATCCAGCGTGGCCAGATCTGTTGTCTTGAGGCCTTTCTGGTGGCTGCCCTTACCTGCCTGACATTCATATCTCTGCAGACTGTTCTCTTATCCATCGACCCTCTCCTGCCCAAACCCTCACTCACTCCACCAGGGACCCTGTCTCTCACCTTCCTGACTCCTGCCTAAAGCATTCATTTATGAGGGAAGCTGAGATGAATAAAACCCCAAACACTGAGAGAACCTCAGCTGTTTTCTAAGACTAGATATGTTTTTAGCAGTTGGATCAAGGCACAGGGAAGCTGAATGAATGCTATATGAGCTCTCATTGCCTTCTTTAAAGCATGGGGACAGTTCTTCAGTCTGGGAGACGAACTCTTCAGAGGATTCTGAGCTAAAGTGCTATAGTTTTGAGTCTCTAGATTTTCTTTTAAAATATAATCTTTCTTGGAAATGTATGCCTTTTAGAGCTTTCTTTAAAGAAAATTTACATTGGAACCATTACAATGATATGGGTGCTCTCTTGAAAATATCTTTTCTACTGTATTTCATGCAAAATGCTTCTTTACATTTTGAATGTTGTGAACAACTGAAACACAGTTCTTTTGATTATCCACGTATGTGTTATTTGTGGAAGATGCTTAAATCCAACAGGATCCTTATTGTGACCCGTATTCTTTTGGGTTGGCTTCTCTGGCTCAGCTAGCTTAAATAAGATATAATAACCTAGCTAAACAGTGCATGTTTATGAAACTCACATGATGTATCTTCAATCAGATACTGCACTTGACATCCTCAGTGTATACTGAATGTCTATTCAGTGACAAGATACCATATTGTGTACTATGAATTCAAAACAGTTGTGGTGACTGCTTTCATAAGGTCACATGTGAAAGAGACAGGTATTAGTCAAGTAATCACACACATATACAATTGCAAGCTCATTTCAAATGTTTAAAAAACGGATTTGATTTAATTGGGGTGGAGCTGATTAACGAAGATTTCTCTGAAGACAACATATTTGAGCTTCATATTGTCTTCTGTATAGGATTAACCATACAACTTTGACCTTAGCTGCTTCTTAAGACTAAAGATTTTTGTTCTCATGTGTGTCATGAATATAAATATATATGTATATATATATATGTGTTTATATATTTGTTAATATTTTAGTTTTTTTAAACTGGATGTGTAGACTCTTTAGGGGAACCAGTAGAGACTATTGCCTTTTTTTCCCCAAGATATTACAAAATTTTAGATAATCTAGTTTTTTATTACTGCTATCCAGCTTTGCATGATCCAGACACCTAAGATTTAAGTTTTTCTGTCATGTTACCAAACTGTAGTTACCAGAGTGGAAAACAGAAAATAATCATTGTTTTAAGGACCTTGGGGTTATCAGATGACCTTCACCCCATTCAAAACCAACCAGCTCCATATTTAAAATTGAACAGCTAGCTGCAGATGGGTAAGACGGAATTCACTTTCTAACTTTTAATGGTCTTGTGTTTAGTTGACACTTCTCTGATTCTTTACAAACTTCTCTGACACAGTAACCACATAAAATGTTGCCCTTTACAACAAAAGCTCTTTTTGACTCAATGTCTTGGTCCTAGTAGCAACTCTGTGAAATAGATGGCCCTGGTGTTAGAGTGGAATTCAGAGGAGGAAACGAGCCTGGGAAGATGAAGCAAGTGGATTCAGGGTCCAGAACTAATATGTCATTGTAGTAGAGGGCTTCTGATTTCAGAATCTGATGTTTTCCTTATAGTACTGTATGGCTGTTCCCCACAAACTCTTCAGAGCTTAGAGTTGTCCTGAAAATGAAATTCCATGTTATACTATTTAACTTGCCTCTTGATTAGAGCCTACTTTTTAAAAATATGTATTATCTTTTTTAATATAATCTTGTAGTATTGAGGCCACTCTTTCAAGAAATTTTGTTTTATCAAAAACCAAGGTCATAACAAAGTAAGTTCAATTCTCACAGGGTAGAGGAGACCTTCAAAAAAAAAAAAACATTTTATCTATGCCTTTAAATCATGAACCATAAACACATAATTATGTGACACATTCTCTGGCCATTATTATTATTATTATTATTACAGTCACTTTCCCAACAAAATGTCACACAGCATCCTTTTATTCCTTAGAGCAACTGTTAATTAGTTTTCCCTTAATAGACCATCTCTTCAGTTAAGTAGATGGAATGCCCTGATCTCCTTCAGTGTTTCCTGGTGCACAGTTCCTCTCTTGTGTACCACCATTGGTACATTCTTTAATCTGAGAGGCACATCTATGGAAATAAAATGCCTTCAGATGCATTCAGCATCAGTTTTACCTGTGTGTTGTGGCTGGATTAGGAAGAAATATCTTGTTTTCTTTTTTTTTGTACTCCCAGTTGTAGGCTCGAAGAACTACTCTTTTGGCACCAACCAATTTCTATCCTTTTTATTTTAGGAACACGATAATCAATTTATTTGAGTATTTGTGGACATACTTCAATTTCTCTCTATTAGTTCCTCTTGTCTGTGCGTTTGGCAATTCTGCTTATAGGTTCTATTAATGATGATATTATGAATACTGGAAATTATGTTAGGTCATTTGGGAAAATAACAGTAAATATCCCATTTGAATACTCTCCAAACATAGCCGTAATTAATTTTGATATATAATTGCTAATATCTTTAGGAAGCAACACATTCTTTCGCTTCTCTTATCAAGTTTTAAGGTGTGAAATCATGTACATGAAAAAATTTGTGTTGAGCCTGGCATATAGGAACTGCCAGATAAATGCTCTTTATGGGTGCATGGCAGTAGTCATAGGAAACAATATAGTTACACAACATCATCCGGAGGAGGACAGTTGATATTTAGGACAGTAGTTCCTAGACTCAGGGAAAACATGTAAAGTGTATATATTTTATTATGATGAGACATTTAAAAATATCATCGACTTTCCTCATAATTTTCAAAAGAAGTAGAAAATAGTGTGTAATAAGACCATCTTTTAACTAAAGCAGTTTTGACTCATGAAATATCTACTTTATCCTTATTGATCTCATTTTACAGTGCACCAGAAGAAACCCTTTGGTAGGCCTGTAGTCCGTAGACAGGTACTGACTGTCTTGGGAAATGTGAAGTTCAAGTGAAGGTCAGAACAGGGGAGTTGAGACTATTCAGGGAATTCTCCCAGCTTCCTTTTCTGGCATATTCTATGAGATACAAATCTCTAAGCTACCGTACATTCTGAAAATTGATTGAATTATGGACATTACCATAATGTCATAACCTATATTCCATGTGTTTATATATCATTCATGCCAACTTCCTACTGCCCAGAAAGACTGAAAAAATTTGATGAGAAAGGTATTAACTCATGGTTCACTTTTTTCCCTAGTAGGCATGAATACAGGTGAAAGACACATTCACATGAAACAAGTAGGTAGATTGTACCCTGTAGAAAGCATTTAAGAGTCCAAGCTGACACACTTTGTCATTCTATATTTTGTACAGAGTTTCATCATAATCAGAGCACTTTATAAACTGGATCCAATTCCTTTTTCTCCCAAGTTTCTGAATCAGAATAACTGAGAAAGAATAATGGAGACTCTTGGATGATGAAATGCAGTCATTTTATGTGGAATAATTTAACTAGAGATCTCAATACGCTTATCTAAGTGCATTTCTCCTCTCAGAAATATTTTTTATTGCAACTACTGCATGCACTTGTGGGTGGGTAAGTGGGACAGATGTAGGCACATCTTAGATGCTTTAAAGAGTTGTCCTAAACTTGATGTTCTTCAGATTGGGATCTGAAGAGGAAAGCTTTTTTTTTTTTCTTCTTCTTTTTTTGGTACCAGGGATTGAACCCAGGAGCACTTAATCCCTAAGTCA